AATCAAATTCATTGGACATTCAAGGAGAAAAGTTTCATTGAAAATATTTCACAAGTTAGCGGAATAAGAGGGTATCTTCGTTTACTGGAACAACTTCTTTTCGATATCCTAAAACAAAAGGTAGAGATTCCTAGCATTGATGTGGGAAGAAGAATGATTCGGGAAACACTTTATGGAAAAAAGGTGCTCATTGTACTTGGTGATGTGCCTAACAATTATGAACTTTTAGCACTATGGACTTATAATCATTATTGGTTCAGTAAAGGAACTGTAATAATCATTACAACAAGCGATGAAGACCTACTGATGAACCAGCCGATAGATTCTATATTTCGGATAGAGCGAATGAACGCAGAGGAGTCCCTTGAGCTTTTTAGTTGGCACGCATTTAGAGAACCAAAACCAAAGGATGAATACGAAGACCTTGCAAGAAGAGTAGTTAGGTATTGTGGAGGTCTACCACTAGCTCTTGAAATCGTTGGAAGTAGTTTATTTGAAAAGACGATAGATGAATGGAACAGTTTATTGTTTAAAATATCCGATAATTGGCTGGCATCGTTTTCCAGAGATAATAAAAGTAAGCATCGAAGGTTCACTGAATGAAATGGAAAAAGATATATTCCTTGATGTATGTTGTTTCTTTGTTGGTAAGAGCAAAGCCTATGTTAGGAAGATCTTAAATGGCTGTGGAGTAGACGCTGATATTGGAATAAGAGTTCTCATGGAGCGTAACCTCATCAAAATTAACAAGAACAACAAATTTGGAATCCATCCTTTGCTACAAGAAATCGGAGAACAAATTATTCGTGAAAAATCAGGAAACGATCTTGGAAAGAACAGGCGACTGTGGCTTGATAAGGATGCAAAATATGTAAGAACATTCTTTGCATGTGGTTTGAAACTTCTTCTAAAAACGTTTTCTTTCTACTGTGCAGTACATGTTTTTAATTTACTCTTTTCATCACAGGGGACAGAAGCCTTGCAGTGGTTCCCTGTGAAACTGCCTTTAGTTAACAATGGCTTCCAAGACGTACAACCGACTGTAAATTTTGAGTACCTTCTTAAGAAACTAAGATGGATCAATTTGTATGGGTTTTCTTCAGAAAGTCTACCTAACAACTTTTATCAGCATGATGCAATAG